CTCTTAGGGTACCAGAGACTGGGACGAGCAGCTCATCCCCAGCCCTCTCCTACTTCTTGTTAGGACACCTGTGCTGGGTGTCAGTCTGATCACCTCCCGCCTCCCCCTCCCACACCTCTTCCCCGGCCTCCCATCTCCACCCTGCTGGCTCCGACCTCCCTGAAACCTCGCCCCTGACCCACAGGTTGGGCATGGAGGAGCGTCCCTACTCCAGCCGACTGAAGAAGATCGGCGCTCTTCTAGAGCAGGACTCTGTCACCAGAGAGGAGGTGGTGTCTGAGCTAGGTGGGTAGACCCTCACAACCCGTCATCCCCGGCTAGCCCTGGGCTTAGGGACAGATGGGAGCTGGGAGGCCTGCTGTCCCATTTCTTGCCCGAGGCTGTGGGGACAGCAGAGCCCACGCTGTGCCATCCTTGGCAGGGCTGGGAACACACGCCTGGTTGCTGGGGTTAACTCCGGGGCTGCTGCGCCGCCAGCCTGGCCGCTGAGCACCCCCGGAGTGCCAGGTGACCCTTAGTTTTTACAGTTGATGTTGATAAGCGGTACTTGTTTAGAGAGCACCTGTACTGTGTTCTGGGCCCCCCTTGGAACACGCTCCCTGTGGCCCATTTCACCCCTACACCAGCCCAGAGAGTCGCTGCCTAGATTCCCTCTCTGCCTGAGGAGTCAGATCCCAGAAACCATAATCTCAGCCGTGAGGAAACTTGCGTGGTTCCCATGCTAGCAGGAGGGAGAGCCAGGATTTGAACCTGGGTAGTCTAAGTCTAGAGCCTGTGGTCTGAATCACAGCCCAGCTTGAAGCTGAGACTATTGACTTGGGGTGAGTGGTGGGAAGATGGCTGGGGACATAGAGGGTGGAGGAATGTGGGGTCCCCATGTGCTGGCTTTCCTGCAGGCAATGGCATTGCTGCCTTTGAATCTGTGCCTACTGCCATCTACTGCTTCCTGCGCTGCATGGAGCCTGACCCCGAGATCCCCTCTGCCTTCAACAGCCTCCAAAGGACTCTTATCTATTCCATCTCGCTTGGGGGGGACACAGACACCATTGCTACCATGGCTGGGGCCATTGCTGGGGCCTACTATGGGATGGAACAGGTGCCAGAGAGCTGGCAGCAAAGTTGTGAGGGCTACGAGGAGACAGATGTCCTGGCCCAGAGCCTGCACCGTCTCTTCCAGAAGAGTCCATGAGGGCCTCAGCTGCTGGGACTCCGCCGTGTCCAGCCGGCCCAGCTGCAGCTCAGACGAGATGCTGCGGTTCCCTGGGCACGGTCCGTGCCTCCGTCATCCTGCAGCGGGGGCGGAGCACACGGCTGGGCCGGGGTCCTGGGGGAGGTGATCAGACAGCGAGTGGAGGACTGGTACCTCCCTGGTGCTGGGTTCCGGGCTCGCTGCCGAGCCTGGGGCCTTCCCGGCTCCCTGGGCAGAGGGGAGGGATTAGGACAGGTTTTATTTTGGAAGGGTACCCGTGGCATTTTCCTGTCTTACCAAGATGTGGGATTCCGGGGGGTGGAGCGGGGGCAGAAATGATTGGCAGCGGCGCTGCTACTTCTTGTTGAGATGTGGCCAGTCTGCCAGAAAGCACGGCTCTGGCTGGGTGGAGCCCTGGGCAATAGTATGTTCACGTGGGTTGGGGAAACCAGCCCTGGCATCCAGCTGATCTAGATGCACACCTGGCCCTTGGCTGTCATGGGGCGCGTCAACAGCTTCTGATGGAAGTCACGGCAATAAAACAGTTTTTGGTAAATCCTGCCACTGGTGCCCATGTTTCTCCTTGGCCCTGAATGAATTTCCTCCCCCGCTGTACCCCCGTGACCTTTTCAGGCCATGTACCTCTTCATCTGTTCTCCTGGGAGCCAGTAAGGGACGGGTGTGGGGTTTGGGGGCAGATCCCTTCAGTTCTTCCAAATGGCTGTGCTGTTTGGCCGGGAAGGGCAGAGGCATGTGTTAGTGCTTTTTCCTGTTGGAGATCATTCAGAGTGACCCAGGCAGTGGGCAGAACAAGCCAGATGTCCCTGTTCTCGGGGGCTGACTTCTTTATAGGTTGTTCCCCAAACAGGACCCACGTCCAGCTGGCCAAAGAGCGGGACCCCCGTAGGAGGGGGCAAAGGGCACCCCCTCCCACCAGACTGCCAACCCTCAGGTGAGGAGGGTGCATCGTGTTGGTGTCCTAGGTGGACTGAAGGATGTGGGCCTGTCTTTATCTTGAGCCCCAGTCAGAGGCCTTGGCTTGAAAGGAAGTTTTACACACCATTTGTTTTGAAGAAAAGAAAATCGAAAGGGAGAAGACCCCTCCGCTCCAACTAGGGATGTTCTCCAGTTATCATTTCAGGCTCAGTGGAGAGAGAAGCATGCCAAGCTCTGCAACTAGCCTGAGGTCCGAGGACTGATGGGCAGGTCTGCTTTCAGCTGAGATGGTGTCCTGCCAGGCTGGGGCAAACCACGGGGCTTTTCAGAGCTTGGATTGTTTCAGGTTTGCTGCCCCCATTCCTCGAACCAGGGACAGATCTTTATTGCTCAGCAGAGCAGGCTGTGGGCAGGTGATTTCTGCCATGGACAGCCCCCCCGAGTCTGGCCTTCAGCAGTGGGCCTGGCACTGGCCCCCACCCTCAAGATCAAAGATTCATGATTTCATTCATAATTTCCATCAAATGTTGAAACTTGGTCCGTGGGACCCTGAGCCAGCTGTCATGCTCCATGACCCCGAGAGTTCGCAGGAATGTTCCAGGGAAGCTTGGAGCATCTCCCCCAGCAACAGTCACTGGCTTGCTTTGATTGCTTGAAATGCCTCTTGGCATTTCCGTGGTGCAGAGGCTTGGCAGCCTGGGATCACGGAGCATTTTCTGACATGGCGACAGTAGCCCGGCTGGGGGCCTGGGGAGCAACGCATGCTCCTTGAGAGAAGGCGCAGAGCAAGAGCCCCAGAGGCTTGAGACCCCCTGCACCGCTCCAGGCCCACGTGGCGCTGTTCATACAACAGGCTTTATTGGGGTTGTATCAGTACAGACAGTCAATACTGCTGTTTCTCTTTTCAAAAAGAAGCCCCACCCCCTTTTTTGATTCCCAAGTGCATTTTTCCCAAATCTCTGACACAGGGCACATAATAGGTATGTAGAGGACTAAGCTTCCTATACCAAGTTAGAAATGAAATTACTAATGAAAACATTCAAACCTTAATCTTAAAAAAACAACAACAACCTAGGAATCAGAATATAAAAATGCACCAAAGTACCATAGTTTTCATAGTTAAAACTTGGCATCGTTTATCAAAGCTAGTCAAGTGGACACCTGGAACTAAAATCCCATAGACATTTTGGAAACACCAGCCACCCCTCCCCCAAAGGCTTCTGGAATGACTTAGCAGAAGCTAAATTCTGTGAAACAGCTCTTTTTCTGGCTCCCCCAGTGCCCTCCTTAGTCCACTGGGCTCCCCCTCAGAGGTAATGAATTTTCAACCATCGGAATCCCTCCCTAGCTGGTCAGATGGTGGCGGCTTTGGCCCAGGAAGGAGGCTGAGCAAAGGACCCCACCAGACTTGGTGTGACTCCTTAGTTCTCTTGGGTATCCGGGATCAAGCAATCCACTGTGAGGCCCAGCCAAAAGCTGTTCAGGTGTCCCTCGCACAGCTTTGGGTTTCACTTTTGAAAGACAAAGCGAGCAGTCATGGGGCCTGCTTTGTTGGGAGAAGTGGGTTAGGAGGAGGCCCGCCCAGGGGCCCAGAGCTCAGCGAGCCAAAATTCGGCCACCACCGTGTCCAACGTGGACAGTCTGGTGCTGGCCAGAATCGGAGCAGTGGAAGACCACACTGCATGACCCCGGTTCACACTTGGTACAGAGAAGTGGGTTGGCTTGGGGCAGTCTGAGGGAGAGGCCCCGAGCCCCACCCCCCGCCCCCGAAAGTGGCCATCTTTGCCCCAGCATTAATCTCAGCTTTATCCACTGAGCTTGAACTAGGAGATAGGAGAGGGATCCTGCCCGTTTCCTGCAGGGGGTGCTCTGCTTGGGGAAAACGGCAGAAACATCCAGAGTCAACTCATTCCAAAGGGGATTGTTGGCACCCTTTTCCTCAGAGTCTCAGCCTTCTGGGCCCTAATCCTGCTTAGAACAGGAAATTGGAACCAGAGGGGAGAAGGAGAGGAAGCCCCCTCAGATTAACCCCTCTAGTAGATACACATACCCACCATATGGTTCTTGTTAAGGAGAAGCAGGGGGGAGCCTTCTTCATCCCCGAGCTTGTGTGTACCTTGTTCTGAGGGCCGAAAAAGAGGCTCTCTGCCTTGGGGACACTTGGGTTGGGGGGGAGCAGGATACCTTACAATTTTGTATGAAGAAATCAGCCCTCCCCCAGCAGGTGAAAGAAGAAGGGTACTTGAGTTGGCTGCTGGTTGGTCCTGCCCCGTTCCTGCTTCGGCAGTCAGTCCCCAAGGGCTTGCGCGACTGCCCTTCTGCTGAGCAGAGTCAGTCGGTGGGAGCAGCCTGGGAGATGGAGGCAGACGTGAAAGGCTGCCATCGGGCCCCAGGTCCATGCTCCTCCCGTCACAAACCACCGCTCCTGTGGCTGCAGCTGGAGCAGAAACGGGGTTGGCCCTTTCCAGGACCCTGCAGAGAAGGGGCTGAGCTCCTGCACCTGCCATGGACAGGCCTGTTGCCACAGCATCACGCTGGGGGTGCAGTCCTGGCAAGGTATCCACTCTAGCCACCTCGATGCCCCCCAACCTTTGCCTTCCCCCGGAAGCAAAAACTCTTCATGGGACCCACCATCCGCTGCTGGAAGTCCCAGGGGAGCTGGAAGAGCCCCAGCCGAGATCCGAGGTGCCGTCTGGGGGCCAGCAGGAAGGGCAGGGCTTGGGCCTGTGTCTCCCTGGGGGAACGGAATGGGGAGCTCAGTCCCCTCAACCCTCTGACCCAGGGAAGCAGCAGCCTTCCCCACCCAGCAGAGCCCATAACTCCTGAGAGGGCAGGGGGCTCCGACAGTGGGGCTGAGTGTCCTGGGCGGCCTGCCTACAGCGGGGCCACAACCGCCACGCTGCACAGACACTTGGGGGAGAGGAACTCAGGCCGGCCTCTTCCAGAAACCACCTCAGCCTGCGTGGAGGGAGAAACCAAACCAGTCTCCTCGGGCCAAGGCCACGGCCGCCTCTGCTTCCGCATCTGTTCAGCTTTTGTTTTTTTCTTTAAATGGAGGTTCTTGTAACTGAGAAGGTCTCTCTACCACTAAAGAGGAGGAGGCCAAGGAGTCAAGGCCCCCGTGGTGTTATGTGGGGCAGAGCAAGAACCCTGAAAAGGAGGAGTGGATATACTCAGTGGAGTAGAGGCCGTTGGCCTGGTCCGACGGCATCTGCACCCAGACCTGGTCGTTGGGCCGCAGCTGGAGCACAGCCCCGCCAGATGCCTGGTCCAGGTAGCCCTTCTTGTACTCGTCGTAGGTGTATGTGGCTGGCACGTTGTTCTTGTACAGGGCCACCCACACGTTGGTGCCCTTGACGTGCACGTGGTAAGCAAAGTAGTAGACCCCGCCCACAGGGCAGGTGAAGATGCCGGTGGCTGGGTTGTAGCCACTGTGGCCGTTGTAGAGAGTCCGGTCAAACTTGACAGGCATGCCCGAGGCGGGGAAGGGTGAGGTGAGTACGGCGGTGAAGGCGGGCGTGGCGTGGGCTGACAGCTCTCCCAGTCCGAACTGTGGCTTGCCCCCCTTGCCCAGCACAGCACCCTCCACGCCTCCGTTGGGCAGGTGCAGGCCGGCGATGCCAGTCTCATCAAAGGCCCCCGGGGCGCCAGGGGGACCGGGAGGCCCAGGAGGCCCGGGAGGGCCAGTGAGTCCTGGGGAACCAGGGACCCCAGGGGGCCCTGTAGGCCCAGTCACCCCCGGTTCCCCCACTTTCCCCTCGCCTGGGGGCCCTGGCAAGCCGGGTTCACCCTTCAGGCCTGGCAGTCCCTGGGGCCCGATAGGACCAGCTGGGCCCTGGAGCCCTGGGATTCCTGAGGGGCCCCTCAGGCCTGGCTGCCCAGGGAGCCCCAAGTCACCCTTCTGTCCCAGGGCTCCTGCCACCCCTGGTCCCCCAGGGCGGCCAGTGAAACCTGGCTCACCTTTGGGCCCAGATGGTCCAGGGGGCCCATGGGCCCCAGGAAGTCCCCTCTCTCCTGGGGGCCCAGGTTTCCCAGCCAGGCCATTAGGTCCCTGGTCACCCCGAATCCCAGGCACTCCTGGGGGTCCTCCAGGCCCTGTATCCCCTTTGGGCCCAGGGGGCCCACGTCTGCCAGGGAGTCCTGCAGATCCTGGAAGTCCTGGGGGGCCCCCAAGGCCCTGTGGGCCTTGCTCCCCTGGCTCCCCATCCTCACCGGGCTCACCTCTGTCCCCCAAGTGGCCTGGGACCCCAGCTGGGCCCCTGTCCCCCTTGGGGCCTGGCAGTCCTGGCACCCCATAGCCAGTGGGGCCTATCAGACCAGGGGGCCCCCGGATTCCTGGCTCCCCTTTGGCCCCTGCTGGGCCCTGTGGCCCTGGCAGCCCTGCTGCCCCTGGGACCCCCACACCATCCACCCCGGGAGGCCCTTTTGGGCCAAGAGCCCCTGGCTCCCCCCTGGGTCCCGGTACTCCTGGAGGCCCCGACTCACCCTTATCTCCAGGGGCCCCAGGAAGCCCATCCAAACCTGGTTTGCCCAAGCCAGCTGGACCAGGGAGGCCAGGGGGTCCAGGGGCACCCCCCTGCCCTGGGGCCCCAGGTAGCCCTGGCTGACCCACTCCATTATCTCCCTTGAGACCTCGATCACCTGGGGGCCCTGGCTCCCCCTGGGGCCCTGGCTCCCCTCCGAATCCTGGGGGCCCTGGCACCCCTTGGGGGCCTGGCTTCCCAGGGACAGCAATGCCTGAGGGCCCAGGGAGGCCAGGAGGTCCTGGGGGCCCCCGAAGACCCTGGTCCCCTCGTATCCCTGGCTCGCCCTGAAGCCCTGGCTGTCCTGGTGGCCCAGCCTTGCCCGGGAGCCCTGGGGGACCAGCCTTGCCCATCCGGGAGAAGCCAGGGGGCCCGGCGGGGCCAGGCTGCCCATGGAGTCCTGGCTTTCCGGTGCCAGGTTTTCCTGGGAAGCCAGGAGGGCCAGGGGGCCCCCGAGGCCCGGGCTTCCCAGGTGGCCCAGGCTCGCCTTTCAGGTCCATTGGCAGCAGCGGTAGAGGCATTTCTGAGAGGGAGAGAGAGAGAGAAGGGCCATCAGGGGCCCCGCCGGTGGAGACGTGGGTCACATCTCCCCACGCCCCCATGGGGCAACACTACATCTCCTCATAAAGGCCACACTCCATCTCCCCCTCCGAGCACTCATGGAAGATGGGGTTTAGGGGTTTAGGTCCGACGGCCCTCTTGGGGGCTCCTACCCGACATACCCAGGCGGGGCCTTCCCCAAGAGCTTGGAGAGATTCCCATCCCTGCCCGACCTGGGGGGTGGAATGGCCGCCAGGTGGCGCCAGCTGCCCTCCTTGGACACCGCCCCACTGCCCCCCCACCCCGCCGGCTTCCGTCCCGCCCCCTCCCCACCCCCGCCGAAGACCACCTCTGCCAGCGGGGCGCGCCCCACTTCCGGCCGCTCCGAGGTCAGAGGCTCCGGACCAGCGTCAGGAGGAAAAGGGAAGGGGGGGTGTAGATCTCAGGTGGGGATGGAGAGGCTGTGACTGGGGGCCAGAGAGGAGCTGGTGGGGGGTCAGGAGGCAGGGAGGTGTGGGGTCAGGAGCTGTCCGAGTCCCCTGCGGGGCGGGGAGGCGCTCACCCAGGTACTGGCCCTTGCCCTCGCGGAAGGGCGGCCCCACAGGTCCTTTGTGCATGGGCTGCACGTACTTCACCGGCGCGTAGCCCGCGGCCCCGCCGGCCCCGCCTCCGGTGGCTGCCCTCGGCCCGCACCCCAGCAGCAGCAGCAGCAGCAGCAGCGAAGACAGGGGCGGCAGAGCCCCCCGCATGGCGTCCGCGGGCGTGCTGCAGGGAGGAACCGAGAGGAGCCGTCAAACCAGCCCCCGCGTGGCTTCGCACCAGGCCCAGGGACTCCCCAAAAGATCCGAATGGAGGTGCTGTACACGAGCAATGCCCGCCGCGTCCGAGTCCGCGGGAGTCACCCTGAAGCTCCCGCAAGCCCACCCGGGGCTCTCCATCCACACGCACGTCCCCCGGGACCCTCTCCCTTGGACGACAGCCGCCCCCGTGCCAGCGGCTTGGCAGCCAGACCCCCCTGCAGAGCATGCATCTGGCCCTGGCGCACCCCTTCTGAGACCCTTGGATGACAAGCCCCACTACCATGTGCTGGGCCTACTTTCTGCCGGGTGGCGGGCTGAGTTCGCCAGAGACAGGAACTCCCTTAATGCTCTCAGGCCTTGAACAAGTTATTATTTCTGTCATCCCCATTTTCCAGATGACAAAACTAAACCAAAGGGCAGCAGAACTGGGGTCTGCTTGAGGTCTGCCTGACTTCACATTACATTGATGAGTCCTCCTGGGGCTCCCCTCTGCCTTCAAGATCAAGGCTGTGGTGCCTAGTAGGGATTCAAGGGTAAAGACTAAAATCTAGTCTGTGCCTGTCTCCAACCCTATCACCCACCACCCCCTTCTCTGCCTCTCCACTCTGCATATCTTTGCCCCCGACACCAGGCAACCTGACACTTCTGGGCTTTTGCCCCTGCTGTTTCTCTACCCTCGATGTTCTTTCAATTTCCTACTCATCCTTCAGGGCGCTGGGACCTGTCACCTTCTCCTCTCGAAAGCTGACCCCTTACCCCTTTGTGTCCCTGCCTAGCCCTGTCACAGCCTGGAGCTCAGCACCGAGAACAAGGCCTGGGTGGGGAAGACTAGAGGTGGACACGCAGCCTGAGCCTTCCATTGTGGGGACCTGTTTCCTCAGGGGATACGATGTCCTCACAACACAGATGCTCATCCTCGGCTGAACGGACAGACCGTAGCTGAGCTACCCCGTGGGACAGGATTCAGCCACGCAAAGCAGTGACGTGCCACTTCGTGCTGGGACCCAGGGAAATCTTGAAACCATCATGCTTAGTGAAGCAGCCGGTTACTATCATATCATACATGATTCCATTTCTGCGACGTGTCCCGAAGAGGTAAATGTAAAGAAACAGAAAGTGGACTAGTGGCTGCCTAGGGCTGGTGGGGAGGGGAGAAGCAAGCAATCACAAAGCGGGCAGGGTTTCCGTCCGAGGTGATGAAAATGTTCGCAAATTGACTGTGATGACAGCTGCCAACATCTTAAAATACATTTTAAAAAATTATTGAATCGTACACTCTAAATGGGCCAAGTGTATGATATGTGAATTGTATCTCAACGAAGATGTCATTTATTTCTTTGAGAGAGAGCGAGAGAGAGAAAGAGAGAGAGAGAGCGAGCACGAGCAGCGCGGAGGGGCGGAAGGAGAGGGAGAAGCAGATCCCCTGCCAAGCAGGTCTCCATCCCAGGATCCTGGGACCACGACCGGAGTCGAAGGCAGTCGCTTAACCAACTGAGCTGCCCAACTTAACCAACTGAGATGTCCTTTTTTGAAAAGCTGTACTGGGACGCCTGGGTGGCTCAGTGGGTTAAGCCTCTGCCTTTGGCTCAGGTCATGATCTCAGGGTCCTGGGATCGAGTCCCACATTGGGCTCTCTGCTCTGCAGGGAGCCTGCTTCCTCCTCTCTCTCTCTCTCTCTCTCTCTCTCTCTGCTTGCCTCTCTGCCCACTTGTGATCTCTCTCTGTCAAATAAATAAAAATAAAAAATCTTAAAAAAAAAAAAGAAAAGCTGTACTAACATCCTGCTTCTTGGGGCGGCCTCGGCGGTCAGAGACACTACCAGGTGTCCCTCCGTATTGGAAGGAGACACTCGGGGGCACTTGGAACATCCAAGGAAAGTCCCACGGCCCCTGCCTCCCTGCTCCGGCTCCCCTCCCCCCGGGGGCTCTCCACACCGGCGCCCGACTGCAGGAGGGTCTGCGAGTGGGTTGTGTACCCCTGTACCCGGGGATGCATGGGGGGAACAAGGCCTTCCCCAGGCCTGCGCTAGGTCCTGAGGTATGGTTAACGTTCCTCCCAGCTCAGTATCACACTGAGCTCCGAAGGAATGAATGCAGGGCTCCAGAGAAGGCCGGTGAAGCCGCCAGCCCAGCTCTGCCATCAGCCTGTCTTGTGACCTTGGGCAGGCAAATGTCCCTCAAGCTCCCCCGGAGCCCCCAAAACAGGAACATCCACCACCTGCGGGGGTCTCCAGCCCAGGGCTCTGCGGGCTCTACCTCACCGAGTCCTCCCACTTGCCCGAGGCTCACACTGTTCTTACCCCGTTTTGTAGATGTGGAAACTGCAGCTCAAGCTTGCCTGGGACACCGCCTTCACAGGCACCCTGTTCCGTCTGCGCCGTGACTGACACCAGGACTAAGAGGCTGCAGCCTATGGGCTCGGTCCTCGGGGAGGTCTGGCTGATGGAGGCTCTGGCCGGGCACTGCCCTAACCTTGCAGCCCCGAGAGGCTTGCCTCTCCTGCTCTCCACGTGAGGAAACACACACGGTCCAAGCCCCTAACCACACCACATGGTCCCACCTCTCTGGAGAAGGGTGAGGGTCCTCCTGTACTGGCCATCTGCGCTGGGCAGGATTGGGGAGGGAGGACTGGAGTGGGGGTGCTCACCTGTACACACAGCCAGAATGTTCTGCCTGGCGGGTGGGCAGGGAGGGTAGGGGAGCAGGCAGAGGGGGCGGAGCTTGCAGCAGAAAACAGAGGTGAGAGGGCAGTTCTGGGCTGGGTAAGCCACAGGCCAAGGTCATGGCACTGCCACCCGTGGACTCAGGACAGCCCTGGCTCTGGGAGCCCTGACCGTCTTCCCATACGGAGCTGAGGCCAGTGAGGGGCAGATCAGGCTCAGCTGGAAGGGGGCTTAAGGCAGAGGACTGTGGGGGAGCACAGGCAGGCAGGACACCAAGGCAAGAGCCCCAAGTCCAGCCAGGAGCCCAGGCAAGCCCCCCGCCCCTAGCAGGTTCCCTACCTTCCAACCTCCTTGGCCATGCCAGGCTCTGGCAAGCATGCCTGCCTCACCCCCTGTGCCTCGTGAGCTGTGCTGTCTCGGCTGAGGGTGACAGGACGGCTGCAGGACCCGGAGCAGATGTCCCCTCTGCAGGGAAGAGGGGCTGCAGGAGGATGGCAGCTCCCACTCACCGCTCCAGGGCCTCCGGTCAGGCACCAGCCTAGCGCTTTGTTCAGTAAATGCTTCCATTCCCACAAGGCCCCTGGGAAGGAGGACCCCCCCCACCCACTTCTCTTTCTGCAGATGAAGAGCCGGATGTTCAGGGAGGTACAGCGATGTGCCTGAGGGCGAGAGCGGGCAACCACATTTGAGCAGAGGTCCGCGAGAACTGCCGGGCGGAGGCAGCCAGGACAGGGCAGCAGCTAAGACAGACAGACAGACAGGCTCCAGGCTGCCTGCCTGCGGGTTTGAGGAGAGAACATCACTCCAGCTCCTGGAGGGAAGGCTAGGGAGCTGAGCAAGCCCATGGCATGGAGGAGCGTGCTGAGCCTGTTCACGGGGCTGCCAAGAGGGACCATGTCCCTGGAACGGCCCGTCGTGGCAGCCTCGTGGGACACACTGCCCCCAACCCAGCCACCCTCAAAGCCAAGGGTGCCTGGGTGCTCCGAGTCCCCTGCCTCCTCTCCACTGGCCTACCTTGCCCCCAGCTCCCTGAAGCTCTGTGCCTTCTGGACATTGGCCTCCAGATTCTGACTTACCTTGCACTTATCCCCGGGAAGCCTGTCAGGCACTTGTCCTGGTCCCCACCTAGGCCTGTAAGCCCCATCACAGCTCTGTAGCCCTCTTTGGCTGTGTCCCTCTCTGGCCCCACTCTATGCCCAGCACAGGACTTGGCTGGCACACAGTGACACTTGACAGAAGTTGGATGCACTCAGGTCGCTGGAAGTTTAAAGACCACACCGATAACTTCCTTGCTCCTTTTCTTCGTGCAGATACGTGTCATCGCCCTGGGAGCCCCCCTCACCCTGGGCCAGGAGGACACAGGTGAGCTGGAACGGGAAGAGGTGAGGGCACACTCACATGGCCTCAGTCAAAGAACTTGAGCTAAGAGCAGCCTGCGCAGGAGGGAAAAGTGCAGAGAAGAGAACAATTCACTTGCTTGCTCCTTGTTCTCCCCTCCAGCAGCGGTGGCCAAGCAGTGTCAGGGCTCCAGGCCGGCTCTGCTGTGCAACCTTGGGCAAGCCATCACCCTCTCTGGTGACCTCTGAGGGGGGAAGGCAGGAACCTGGGCAGTTGGGAGGAGGCCCGGCTGGCAGGGGCATGAGGTGGGCTGCGGAAGGAGACGCTGATTCAGGGGATGGAGCAGTGGCGGCGGCCGGGGAGCCGAGGTGTTTGCACAGCTGCAAGTCCTTAGTGGGGATTTCCCCCTTTTCAACAAATCCCCGTAAAACAGCGTTTTGTCCAAGTCAGCGTTTTGTGGCAGCCTGGGCCTCCTCCTGGGGCGGCCAAGGAGGCTGGCTGGGAGCACAGAGAGTTCCAGGGTCTTTCAGACCCATTCGGGGTAGGGGGAGGACTGGGCGCCGGCAGCAAGAAGTGCCACCAATAGAGACCCCTCTCCTCCTGAATGGGGGTGGAGGGAGGGGCAGAGCCATCAGCTAACAGTGACCCTCCCTGTCCGCACTGGCTCTCCGGGGGTCCTGTCCCAGGGGTGACCAACAGAGCCCCCCATCTGACGGAATGTAGAGGCCTGCCCGCTCCCCATCCTCCATTTCACAGACGACCTACCAGTGGTCCAGATGGAATGGGGGAGGGTGAGGGAGAAGGCTCCCGGGGACCATGCAGGGGGTAGCCAGTGTGGCCATGGTGGCCCCCCTCCTGGGCTGCGGGCTGGACAGAACACAGTCCTGCACAGCCCTGCACATCGCAGCCGGGCTGGGGGAACGTGGGGAGCCACAGCAGCCCCGGGGCCGCCAA